CCAGGGAGGCCAGGGGCTTGGAGAGGACTGAGGGGGAGTGTGGGCACACGGGGGCCACCCCACTGGCTTTGCAGGGCTTCCCCACGCCCCCATGACCTTAGGGGATCAAGAGGGAAGCAGCCAGAATTCGGTTTGGCTGCTAATCGCCGAAACCACAGTGAATGACTTACAGGGGGCTTTCTGTTTGCCTTAAGTTAGAGCTGGCTGGGGGGCCGGTGGAGCTCCTCATCCGGGGGCATTCGCACGGAGGATTTAGGGGTGGCGATGCCATGTGGGCTTGCCACCCTGACCAATCGAGGGCAGCTGGGCAGCGGGGCAAAGGAGGAGGATTCTTTGTGTGCTTCTTGCAACTTTTCTGAAACTTTGAAGTTACTTCTAAATAAATGATTGAATTATTACTTTTCAAATGAAGAAAAGGAAAATTCAGGAGAAGGCCGTCGAAGGCTGGTGTGGGGGCTCCACCCTGATTGAGGTCCCACGCTGTTTTTATCTTTCAGTTCTCCCTTTGGCACGTGCTTCCCACCCTCAGAGCCACCTCGCGTGCAGGATCAGAACCGCTGAGGTTGCTGGTGCAGTTCATGCACTGCTCAAAGCTCCCAGCCGAGAGACTGAGTGGGTCCTGCAACCCGGCCTGCTGCCCGCCTGCTAGGCCAGGCCCTGCAGCCTGCGGGCTGCTTCTGCCCACCAGAGCTGTCTGTTTTCAGAGTCCTCTGCTCCCAGTAGAAGTCTTTCCTGATTTGAACAAACGCACACCAAGGGCTAGCCTTGGCCCTACTGGGATGTGGCCACACCCACCGTCCAGACAGGAGGAGGGAGGAGAGGAAGGGGCAGAGCGTTCCCAGACACCCCATCCAGCGACTTTGTCTCTGGTCGTTTGCCTTACGGAGGTGTATGCTGTCCCCTGGGATAAAGTGGGGGTCTCAGGAGAAAGGGGCTGGTGCATACCAGCTAGGCAGTTGCAGTTAGTACACTGCCCCAGAGCGGCTGCAGCCCACCCCCCAACCCACAGCAAAGTGGGAAACCATGAATGTGAAGGTAAAGTCCGCTAAGTTACCAAGAGGGCTGTGAGCACTTAGTAGGCTCACTGTACATTTTCACGTATCGGCTCTTTTTTAAATCGATTTAACATCACTAACCCCAATCCTCTAGCACTTAATACTTGTCAAAGATAACCCAGAGGAGCCCCATGAGATGGCAAAAATCCACACCGTTTGACAGATAAGGAATTTGAGATAGACGGGCTGGATCATTCGAATTCATTCAGGTTTTTATCACGCACCTACTATGTGCCAGGGACTATTCTAGGGCCTGGGATGCAGCGTGAGCACGGGAGGTGAGAGCTCTTAGTCCAAGAAGCTCCCACTTTAGTTTGGGCAGATGGATTCAGTCGTTCAAACAGATGAACCAAGGACTTAGACATGTGATGTTCACCCGCATGGAATCAGTTTACGTGACAGAGAATGGCTGGAAGTCACTTTAGGGTGTTGGGAGGTGCCTTCGTCAGGAGGTGACATTTGCGCTGAGAGCCCAGTGATAAGAGGGAGCCCGTGGGGCTGATTCCATCCAGCGCAGGTGTCCCACTGGGGAGGGATCCAGTGGCTCTGCTCGCTGTGACGTTCAGGGGCCCAGGCTGAACGCAGCTCTGTCTCCTTGGGTACACAGCTTACAGCACACCCTGGACAGCCGTGCCTGGCTACTGAAAGGAGAGGGAGGAGGGCGAGAACTCTGTTTCTTAACTGCTTTGGCCCAGAAGCGGCACACTCCACCCCCGCTTCCACGGCTCAGTCACTTGATCCTCCAGAGTCAAGTCCCCGGCTTGACATTCTGCTGTGGAAGGGACCACGACTCTTCGGGGTCCTTCTCACTGCCTGCTCCAAGTGCCAAGAGGAACCCAAGACGTGGTGTTGGGCAGATGGCTGGCAGGGAGCGGGACCAGCCAGGAGGTCTGAGAGGCCACCCTAAGGAGGGAATGCGTGAGCTCCACCTGCATGGCGAGAGTGACCTGTTGGTTTAAAGACTCAGTGGAGACAGCAGGAACATAGTTCTGGAAGCAGGAGAAGCTCAGGACCAAAAGGTGGCCACTCTGACTGCAGGGGGAACAAGCCCAGGCCTCTCTGTCCGGTGGAGGAGACCGGAATTATGAAATAATTGCAGAAGCATATTCTAAGGACTGGAAGGAGAAAGCCCTGAGGGCTCTGAGAGGGGGCAGTTGGCCCTGTCTGGACGGGGTCTGGATGCCTGCAGAGGCATCTGCTGCGTTGAGGTTTGTTACAGCGGCAGACTGTGAGCCTAACTAATTTAGCACTTGCCGCCAGCTGGCATTTAAAAAAACTATTTATCTATTTACTTGTTATGATTTCCAGCCTCCAGTCTGGGGCTCAAACCGCGTCAGCCATGTGGGAATCCAACACCTAACCACCACGCCACCGCTGGCCCCACCAGTTGGTAATTATCGTGTGCATTGTCTCCTCCGGTTAGATGGAGGTTCAGTGAGATCAGGCACTTCCTTTGGTTCACTGTGGCCATCCTAGTACAGAGAACAGTCCCCCAAAAACAGAAGGGACCCAGGTGTTTGCCGAGTGCATACATGATGGTACACAGGGGTTTGTCACTCTGCAGGTCTAAGATCGTGGTATTGTATTACAGTTCTTCAGATGTCCCAACCCCTGCCTGCCTCCTGCCCCAGTTCGTTTGGGTATGGCCCGTGGTTGAGAAACATGCAGTAAATGCCAGGAGCATGCCAGGCCTTGGAAGACATAAAGTGCCAACCCCAAGGTCCTGGTTGGGCAATCCCATGGTGTGTCCTGTCCCAGCTCCACCCCCTGCTGTCATGCGTGTGATGTCACAGTGGCCACCCAAGCCACCTTGTTGAAGGAGAAACGTCACCCAACAGGTGAAGGCCATGGTTGAGATACGTCCTCTCTGTTGTCTCTGGGGAGGCCAAGGGCAGGCAGGTGATGCCCAGGACATCGAGAGGACACGTCCCCAGCTTCCCCGTTGCTGATGACATAACAATGAAATGGCCCTCCATGTACCACTGCACCCACTGTCTCATAGCCAGGGATTCGCCCTGCAGAAATTCTCCCTCGTGTTCAGAAAGGCGCGAGTGGGAGGATGCTTACTGGAGGATCGTTCCTGGGGGGAGTTGGAAATAATTTACCATCCGTCCTCGGGGAATGGTTACTCCGCCATCACATCCACCGTGTGGACGGCTCCCAGCCGTACAGGAGAACCCTCTAGTGGTGTGTGCTCACAGGGAAGATGGCCACCAGAACAGATGCAGGCTCCGTCCACGCTGGGAGGCTTCGGGACGCGCTGCGGCCCCTGATCCGTGAGGCAAACTACGGAAGGGCTCGCTTTCTGTTTTGCTCCTGTCCGTATTGCCCCAAGCTTTTCACTGTAGAAGCGCCGAGCCATGCTGCCGACTTACGGCCGCGATCCGAGCACGTCGAACTGGTGGAATGTAACGATATCTGTCATCCCCCACGACTTCGCTGTGTGCCCTTATGCCATTTTGCCATTTGATTGTGAAGTAGCTTTTTCATTTCTTTCTTTTTTTTCCTAGAAGTGTATTTTATTTCCCTCCCGAGAGAGGGAGATTGAGAGGGGGACCCCTGACGGGATCTCCGTGCCCTAGCCTCCCCCAGTTCCACAGCCAGCCAGGACCACAGGCACACCTGGTGTGCTCAGGGGAACCTGGGACACGAACCACGAGCCCTCGCATCTGGCTCCAGCACCGCACAGCAGCTCCCACGGCCTGCACTAACATGGCTGGGCCCTGGCTTTTTCTACGATGCACTTTTTTCTTTTTGTTTTGTTTTGTTTTGTTTTTGCTATAGGGTGCGTGCTCTCACTAGACAGAGAGAGAGAGAGAGAGAGAGAGACAGAAAGCGAG